GTTAGGAGACTTTGAAATTTGTATGGCGGCCATGTTGTTTATTTGAATTTCGAACATTTTTTACTTCCCGCGGAATTCGACCAGGGTGTATCTCATAAAAATGCACAAAAATCCGCCCATGCATTATAGTTTTTGCAGGCCGTTGATCACTCGTTTACATTTTCCACATTCAGGTCTATTCATATTTGATTCTTTGCCTTGGAGTTTAACCGCGCACAACGGTATAAATATCATTTTTCTACCATATCGGGAAGTATGCGTTCTATTTTTCTAAGTGCTAAACTTGTAGCTTTATATTAATAAAATAATAATAATAATACGTGTGTGAAGTATGTAAAAAGCCGCGGTGTAGGACCCACACATGCAGCATGCATCTAAATAATCCTACAAAATTTTCATAACAAAGTTACAAGCCTTATTTTGAAACTAACTAACGGATTTTTGACTCACTACCCACTTAGGCGCGATAAAAAAATTCCAACGCACACCCCCACAAAAAATAATTCAAAAAACGTATTTTTTATATTAACGTAACACAAAAAATCACATGGAAAAAATTATATATACGTAGTGTAGTTTATATAGGTAGATAATTCAGGTTTTTTTTCAAATGCGGTAAGGCCCTCTAGACAGGATCAATGCCCTCAATTGCTTCCGAGGCTCCTACCAACCCCCCTACGACTCTTCAGCGCCGACTGGGACCCCCCACTTTGGGAAACTATGTTATAGATGTTCAATCATTTTGTCGTTGCCATCGCTCATATTATAGCACTCCGACTGCTCATTGAAACAAACATTGTTTTACTTTCATCGTGCTCTACTTACCTTGATCCAATTCAAAATATTTCACACCTACCATCTTTTGTCAAAAAAATTTAGCGTTCAATTTATAATAAGTCAAATTGTTTGTAGAAGACAATGGGTACGGTGTGATGAGATGATAAGATAACCATGCCGTCGCCTTTAACTCGAATTGCTTTTCGTGACTCGGCGGCTTTCACGTGTGCGCTTGAGCAATTTTTTAGCGTTTAAATTTGAGTTACGTTGGGCATTACCGAAACTACTAAATACTTGAAAATCTTTTGTTAACTTAATTTAACGTACTTTTTAGTATCTACGCTATCTTAATCATATATGTAGTCTGTACGTAGCCAACATTTATATATATCTTTGTATGATTATTAGTATACCTGATAAACTAAAAATCATTACAATTACCTTACAAATTATTTGTAAAAATTTCGCATTAATCAGTTTTATCTTATTTTTTTATAGAGAACCACAAAATGGCGTTAATGGGTATCCGATTTGTAAATTAATACAGCGGCTTACCTACTATTAGAAGTAGCTAATATATTCTTTTTTAATTACGGCCTTCATCGATTTTGCGTCACGAAAGTGTATCATCCGTCTCATCACATCACAAGTTAATTATGCCAAAAAACTATTATGAATTGCGTTCAAAATGCATTGACTTTCAGATAATCGCTAGACAGAAAACGAAAGTTCTAAATTGACGACACACGCGGTTTTTGTCGATCATCTCGTGAGAAATCACTTGTCGCTTTTGCGTGTTTTTAATACAAGTATCAATTATGGTGACTCCCATATGTAAGGGCGTGTGTTGACAGGTTAACAAACATTTAGGCTTATTAAGATAGGAGCAAGTAGGTGTTAACGGAAAGGATTTTTTCTAAATTAGCAGTGTAGAAGCAGAGATCCTTGTGAAAGTGTTAGTCCAGGGAAGTACCTTACCTATTTCTGCCACTAACCACTAAAAGTGAGCATTACTGTCCGGTTTTGCCTTCAAAAGGGTAAAGGGTAAAGGAGCTGGTGAAATTATAGGCACATGGGACTTATCAGCTTATGTCTTAGGGTGAAGAGCGCAGTAGCAGTGTCCCTCAGATTTTGGCAATTTAAAGCTTGTGAGTGGCATAAATCTTTCAAGTATTTGGCTCGACACTTTCCTGTTTAAAAAGAAAAAAGATTTATAGTTTTCTGTTTGTTGAGTGTATTCAAGCATGAGCTACAGGACTTATCTCTCATTACTGCTGTTTTCTTAGTTGATGCTTTTATTGATATTGTTATGTAAATGTTCATTGTTACATATGCAATTGTGTCTAGTGTTTTTACGACGATTAGTTAATTGAAGAGGCTAGTATGACACGCAATCTACAGTGTCTCTAATCATTGGTCTCTAAACGTTCGTCACGCTTCATTCGCGCTGTTATCTTATTTTCATTTTGCCTAGTATAAACGTGATGACATTTACATTATGACAGTCGCAGCAAGAACGAGAGAAGAAAAAGATAGAATGTATGGCGTCGTCGTCAGTACAAACAAACAAGAGAATACGAGTAGCGCATGAGATAAGACCTATTTTGCCTGAAAGTCGGAATGAACATTGAAGTTCTTAAATTATTTACTAAGTTTTTTTCTAACAGAGCAATGTTAATAACAAGGTTTAATAAGAATAATTTCTCATCTAGCAATTATAATCAGTCATGCCCCTTGTAATATTATTTTCGGAACCGCAAACTAGAATGTGCAAATAAATAATGATTTAGAGCAAGCTTTCACTGGACGTTGATTAATTAAAAACTTAATTGGATAATGGTCGTCCCCACGAGAAACGACTGTTTTTTTCAGAGCAATCAGGGAACTAAAGAAGAACCCGCGATAAGCCTTGAGGCATTCTTGCATTGAGGCATTAATGGAGGGCATTCACTCACAACAAAACTTCGCAATTGGCGTTTAGCCAATGCATTCATGACGACGGGTCGACGCTTGTCGTGAAGTTTGAATAACTTAACTTGAAATATGAAAACGATCATTAATGAATACTCCTGTAACTGTAATTTTCATTAAAAACAAATAGAGACATTCATAACAGTACTTGAAATGAAGTGTAAAAAAAGAGCTCGCAATCTAATGGTGATAAGATTTCAGCTTATTAGACTCAATCTTGGCTTTTCATCAAGGCTTTTATCACATGAAAGTCATTAAAATAATACGTTAATTCAAGATCTGGCAATTTGCCTTAAAATTTATATTTCATACTGAAGATTTGGCTTCGCCTTAATAAAACAAAACGTTGAAGAAAAATTTATGTCTAAGATGTGGCAATATGGCTAGACGCCTTAGCCTATCCCGGAGGACAAACGTTTTACTACTACGAACTAGATGTAACAAATGATACTATTATGTGAAATTTATAACTCTCCTATTTAAGCATTAAAAACTTATAGACTAATTTTCGTTCTAAACAGTTGTCATTTTGCAGATGTAGCAATTTACACTACCGGTGCGATTATATAATTATTTTAGCATTCGGTTAAAATGTACTTGAAAGTTTTTGCTTTATTTTATTTGGGTCTGTGGTGAGACAGGCAGTATATTATCTGGTATGTTCCTCTAAAAGTGACTGCAAACCGCAATGACAAGTGCAACTGATACTTGAGGTTATGCTCACAATCCTGTAAATTCGCCTCGCGGCCGAGATCCGCCGCACTTCTTGTCGAAGCTGCTTAATTGAGCGCGGCCAGCACCCACTATATAGTCGATTATTATAATATCGCCGTAGATTACATGAAAATAGAAAATGCCTGAGGGCCCGCTTTCTTCCGAGCGACTTGCGGCAGCCTAGTTACCGGCAGGTGGGTGCAGCCACAATAAAAAATGCCAATCGTCTATCTCCACATGAAAGGCGACATGCCACTACATTTGCCGAAACTCTCATTACATCCTCTAATCGCAAATTATCTACTTTTATATATGTACCTTTTGGGCTTTTTTTACTTTCGTTGTAATGCAAACAAACAGCAACTTTAGCAAGCGGTCACAAATATAGTAATTTATCTGGTAGTATGGAATTGTCGCATTCCAATGGCGTGCAATCGTCTATATTCTCGAATCGACAGATGAAACTTTCTAACAGCGATCGAGCGCCTGGGGTGAAATCGCGAGCCGCACAGTCGCTGTCATGCTGCGCCCGCGACTCTCCGCCAAACGCTTGGTCGGGTATGTGCACAACATATGTTTATCATAATTCGACATCTGACATCTCCGACTACTACTTGCTTAATTTATTTTTCCGTTACGGTGGAAAACTAAAAATAAACAATTTGAATAAAACGAAAGCTTTTCTTTCTGCATTATATTATGTAGGAATAACTTTTACATTACATAACGATATCATATATCAGTCGTCTGATTGCGTAACATTACAATATATTATGGATGCAGTAGGACTGATGTTAAAAAAGACACGTGGTTGTCTTAATATAACGAAATTTCACTGCGGTCAAACTCACACAAGTGAAGAAACTTGAAATGGATTTCCGTAATTCAGACGATCGTATAAATAAATACCTACAAGAAAAAACATAGTTGCTCTCAAAACATGTAAGAACCCGAATGCAAAAGGAATCATGGATTAAGTGTAAACAGTCCTTAAATTACAGATTCACAGTCGTCAGAAATAGTTTTTGGGGATTCAATAAAGCTGTGGAAAAGCAAAAAACTAACAAACACCGTACGTCAATCTTAAAGCTCATATCGCAATAAAGATAATGTTAGCGTTAAAATAAAGCTTTGTCTTTCTTTTTTCTACTTAAAAGAAAGAGATGAATATAAATACTATTTATTAAAGATAATTAATTGTGACTAAGCGCGACCTTGCGCGATAAGGTGAAGGCCGTGTGTGGTTTCCTCTCGTCGCAACGGGAGCGGCGCGCGCGCTGCAGTGAAAGATGCAGCCGGTGCAGTTCCGGTGCTGCTGCACTCGGTCACTGGGTCATCACGGCCCCACTTGTTGGTGGGATGGTGGGGGAGCGCACGGGGAGGGTGCGTCGATGTTGCGCAGTCGCTCGGCGCAGTCGCCACCGCCATGTTAGCCGCGCTTGCGTCCGCGCCCACGCGCCACTAGCGCCCATGCCAAGCGCCGACCGCGCCGGGGCCCTAGGCTAAGTGTTTAGCTGAACGTGTTTCGTTGGTTGCAGGGCGCTGACGCTGGACTGTGACTATGAAGAGAACCAGATTGTTGCTGGCCATCGCTACGCTCCTGTTACAGGTTTGTACAATTTAAATTTGTTAATCTAAAAAAGTATTGGTTGCAAGAACGTATTGAAATTTGACTCAACACACACGACAACAACAACAGGACTCTAATGAAACAAAAACAGGACTCTAATGGCTCAAAGGATGAAATTAATTATATTTCAAAATGGTTGTTTTGAGCTTATATTTTATCAACGTATTCTTAATTTCATGTGTTGTTGATCACAGTTTAGTGTCACGTATTTGTTAATGAAAAGGTACAGTAAGTATTACTAATAAGCAATTAAAATCGTCCATTAGTTCTATTATTAAATTCTATTATAATAATTATTTACCAAAACCTAGAGCCTCACTTTTAAAAATTCAATAAAGTTCAAAATTCCGACACTACGCTTTAGAACACTTGATTAGAACAATAGTTTAGAATTGTGTAGCGCACAACACGCGCGAGGCGGCGGCAGGTGGGAGGGAACGAGGTGGCAAAAAGGCATAAAAGTAACGTAACATCAATCTAGGAGTCCAATCATCAACCGTGATCAGAGATACCGTTCCGGAAACGAACTCAATAACAGTCCAGCTGCAGTTTTAACTGCACACAAGATGACACTGACTTTTCTATATAAAAATTTGCTATACAATATTCCAATATCAAGTTCCAACTCGAGTCTAAAGTCTCACATAGACTTATCAAATACGCTTTAGTGTGTTCCGTTGCTTTTATAATTCGGATATTAAAGTGTAATGCCTAAGGAAAGTTTACCATTGATCATCTGTTTATTATTTGGGTGTAATTGACTGAGTAGTTAAATAATATAGGCCATTACAAAATATGCTCCAAACATGTCAAGCGAGTGACTCGATAATTCACATAATAATCGTAAGATGATGATTTCCCTAAGAACTCAGAGCATAAAAAGTACTTAATCCTCAATGAAACGCATTTAGTAACAGAAGAGCCCCTTACCTATTTCAGCCGCCGAGCAATAATGTGAGTATTGCTGCTTTCCGGTTATGAAGGTTAAGGATGCTCATGAAATTACAGAGACAAGGGACTTGTCAACTTATATCTCAGGGTGACGGGCGCATTGGCAGTACCCGTCAGATCTTTGTGATTTAAAGCACTGAGTGGCCACTGCAACCGTTATGGACAGGCGTGTCGCTTACCACCAGACGCACGATTTGTTCGCCCCGTCACTTGTTATTATAAAAGAAATGCATGTACCTATTTAATAAATTAACATAATTTTAATTATCATTTCGCCGGTGTTTTGTAGAAAATTCAATTTTGGTTTAATTTAAATTCAAGTTTTAAATTTAAAACAGGACGTAAATATTTTAAAACTTAAACCATGCTCCCCTGAAATTTTTTTCGAAATGGCGCTTACGCTCTTTTCTGAAACACCGACGATTTATTCTTTATCAAATAAAGAGCTTAGAAAGTAACGCAAACGACAGGACACGAACATCTTACGAGTATAATAAAATGCACGATGTTACGCGTTGAAATTTCTGTGAAACTGTTGGTTGAAAATAACAGATATTTTGCACTTTATGATGCATGAAGCGTTGAATTGGATGTAGCCACTGGAAGTAGAAAATAACTGTTTCGCATCGCAAGATCATAATAAATATATGACTTGAATGTATACATATACAAATAAAGAATAATATTCAAACAAAAAAATAATACATACATCAAAATTATCTAGAAATCAAGGATTTTTTTAGATATTTGGTTACCCTATTATATACAGGAAATGAAACTATTTTTCCGGATTTCAATCGCGTATATTTGTTTTTTCAAACATACCAACGTTTCAAACATGTGGTTTCAACTAGACGGTGCCACAAGTCACACAGTCACCGAAACAATGAATTTTATGCAAACCAAATTTCCCGATCGCATAAATTCATCCGTTAAGTACCCAGCTCGATCATGTGATTCAACACTGCTCGATTATTTTTATGGTGTTATGTTAAAGACAGAGTCTATACCAATCGAATGGATTACAGCCTTAAAACTTAAAATTCGTGAAGTGATTAATGAAATAGACCCACCATTTTATCAAAAAGTTATTAAAAACTTTGATGAAAGAATCAACATCTGTAACTTTGGTCGTGGTGGACATTTATCAGATATTATTTCTCATTCATAATTGCCAAATCTTACTTTTTTTAATACAATAAAAATTTTAATCATCGTCATCTAAATTTATTGCTTTATTTTGATTTAAAAAACAAAGTTCTTCTTGAAAAATCCTTTAAACCCTTTAAATTATTTCATAAATTTTGATAGACAATTTTATTTAACTTTAATAGGCTATATCGAGTTCTGAGGCTTTCGCGATTGTTACACGTTGGTTTGTTTGAAAAATGATCATAATATAATATATAACATAATTGACCATAGGACCTATAAAGATAGGTCCTATGGTCACGGTTGACTATAGGGCCTGTACTGACATGTAAAAGGCCCGAATCGTTGGTTTGCTTGAAAAAACAATATAGGCGACTTAAATTCGGTAAAATAGTTTCATTTCCTATGTGTAACAATCGTGAAAGCCTAAGAACTCGATATAGCCTATTAAAGTTAAATAAAATTGTCTATCAAAATTTATGAAATAATTTAAAGGGTTTAAAGGATTTTTCAAGAAGAACTTTGTTTTTTAAATCAAAATAAAGCAATAAATTTAGATGACGATGATTAAAATTTTTATTGTATTAAAAAAAGTAAGATTTGGCAATTATGAATGAGAAATAATATCTGATAAATGTCCACCACGACCAAAGTTACAGATGTTGATTCTTTCATCAAAGTTTTTAATAACTTTTTGATAAAATGGTGGGTCTATTTCATTAATCACTTCACGAATTTTAAGTTTTAAGGCTGTAATCGATTCGATTGGTATAGACTCTGTCTTTAACACAACACCATAAAAATAATCGAGCAGTGTTGAATCACATGATCGAGCTGGGCACTTAACGGATGAATTTATGCGATCGGGAAATTTGGTTTGCATAAAATTCATTGTTTCGGTGACTGTGTGACTTGTGGCACCGTCTAGTTGAAACCACATGTTTGAAACGTTGGTATGTTTGAAAAAACAAATACACGCGTTTTAAATCCGGAAAAATAATTTCATTTCCTATGTGTAACAATCGCGAAAACCTAAGAACTCGATAAACCTGTGAAGTCTAAATATTTTTAGACTTAGTTGCGTGTATTTAGAGGTAGCATTGACTTCAACTTTAAAATACTAGAAGAGCAGACTTAGCTTATTTACAACTTTATTACATGCATAGATTTGTAAAGTGATCGTATGTTTGAAACACATGAACAATCTATACGGTGCGCTCGGGCACGAAGCGATATGCGCACACTTCTACATTATTCAGCTTTTTCCGCTCGCGTTCCCCATAAGTAGGCTAATGATTCCGTTAGCACATCCACAAAACAGTGGACCATTGGAAGCTAACTGCGTGTGCCGATCTACGTATATCGAATCTTAAGAGAAATCAACGCGTTACGAGTTAATTCATCAACTGTAAGAACAAACCGAACAGATCAAAATAACTACTTCGTATTCATAAAGTTCATTTGCAAAAAGACTGTAAGCTTATTAAAGTCCATGCAAAGAAATTTTAAAAATTTATAGCGAAAACTATTATGCCCGTAATTTGCATCATCTTTCGTTCAAACCTTTCCATTTAGGATTTAATATTACTTTAGTAACTTTCTATTACACCGCCTTGGGCGTAGCAACTTTTTTTTATGATACTAAGTGACGGAACGAACAATTCGTGCGCCTGGTGAAAAACGACACGTCTGTCTATAACAGTTACAGTGCAACTTAGAGCTTTAAATCGCAAAGATCTGAGGGGCACTCGCACTGCGCTCGTCACTCTCAGACATAAGTTGACAAGTCCCATGCACCCGTAGTTTCACCAGCACCCTTTACCTTCAAAACCTGAACACATTAATACTCACATTACTACTTAGCGTCAGAAACAGTTAAGGTGGCATTCCCTGACGACCTCATAGAGTTTTTACTTTTTTTTTCAGTTTTTACTCATACAGATAAATATGTTTGCTTCATAATTTAAATGGAGCTTTCGTTGGAGTTTTTGGAGCTCAGAACTGGCTCCAAAGAATCCTTCCCATATCCTTGACGTTTACACACCACGCAGTTAATGCTCACATTGCTGCTTAGCGGCAGAAATAAGTAAGGTGGCAGTACTTCCCTGGACGAACTTTTTCACAAGGAGCCCTACGGCTACTAAAACTGCTTTAGATATCGAGACTATAGCATGTTGTTTACTATATACATTTGTATGTAAACACTTTATTATACCACAATGACAAATTTTCACAAACAATTTAAACCGTAGTGACATTTGCACATTAACTCCAATACACAAGTAAAATCTATGCAACTATTTCTATATTATACGAGTAATTTGCACCCGCGTTCGTGTTACTCAATTCATACCCCTATTGATAATAGTTTCATCAATGGAAAACCGTTCAAAACTAAAAACGCAGTTTACACATAACACATGTGAGTCGTGCAGGAAGCAACTGAAAAGGAACTGCCAACAGTCATGTCGTTGACCGCCAAAATGGCTTTTTTCAATTTCACTTTTACTGTGGATAAAATTTCGCAGCTTTGTAAGCGAATGATGCAACAGCTTCGAGCAACCGATTTCATTTTTCACATTCAAAAGGTTGTACTTCATATTACGTAGCAGTCATCATTCGATTGCGATCGATCAGATTCAATTTGATCGATGATTTAATGGGTACCGTTAGATGCGCTTGTCTGTTAACAATGAACTAACAATGTGATATTGATTTGGTTATTTCATTAATAACTGACTTTCCAGCTAGAAGTTACATGATCGGACTTGTTTCGGAGTTTATTGGAATTAAAACCTCTTTATATAAATAAAGCAACAGAAGCGGACTTTCTTTTTTTACCTTTTATGAATTTTACCATGATACTCACAAAAATA